GAGCAATATCGCTTTTTAGAAGTTAAAATAGTGTCATCCAGCCTTTGCATCACCCTCATGCTCTTTGAATTATGCCTAGCCTTCAAGTAAGCATGAAAGAAAGCATTATTGCCATCACCCATTTTGAGCCAGTCAATTTTTGTTTTTTGCATCATCATTCTCTCCTCTATCTCATTCCATTTTATAACTTCCTCAGTTAATTGCTTCACTCTATTAATCTTGATAGCATCCATCCTGTGGGTTTTTAGGTCCACATATACTTGGTCAAGATGTTGTCTAGTTGTTGTAATTTTTTGTTGTATATCAGTAGTATACTTGTTCAATTTCATTCACTCTGGTTGTAACCTCTTCAACTTATGCCAAAGCCTTTGCATAGGTGTGCCTTTATCAGGTCTAGACCAACTCTTTTCCATGATCTCATAGAAACCAGTAGTATCCACCCAACAATTATTGAATTTAAATTGCTTCTTAATCCTCATATTGCCAGGTTCAGACAAATACAAAACAACATGGTCTGAGACATGAGGTGGGAGGATGTTCAGGATTGCCTCACTGTGCTCTTGGAACTAAGCTCCATTAGCCAACACTCTATCTATGCGAGAATAAATAGGACTTCTAGCCTACTTATTAGACCAAGTAAAGAAATCCCCAGAACTATCCATCTCACTTAAGCCAGTATTGTTCATCATATTCTGCAAGTCTACATACTCTGCTTCTGTCACAATCTTACCTCCAGTCCTGTTCTGACTTTTTGCAACATTATTAAAATCCCCAATTGCACACTGATAGAACAGAGGTATGATATAATATGATAAAGATAAGTATTTTATTAATGAATATGAAAGTAAAATAAATTCCAGAGCTACTGCTCCTCAGTCAGAGAAACAATTCTCTCACTGCCCAAACCCTAATATCAAAAACAGAAAATTAATCAATCCTAACTACTGCCCCATACACTCCTCTTTATATGGAGAATAATCCCTAAACTAACTCCTATTTATATGGAGAATAATACCTAAACAAACTCCTATTTATTTGTGGAGTTTTCTATTCTTTCTCACATATACCCTCCATTGTTTAGGTCCAATAATAACTCTATTAACTAACACATTCCCATCATCATTTGTGGGATTCGATCCATTCCTATCATCACCCCCACCTACAACATTAGCCTTGTCCTCAAGGTGCAGACCAGGGAATTGACTCTTCAGCAATCGTTCCTCTTCCCAGGTAGCATCTCCAGCATCCATCCCTTCCCATTGTAACACACTGCTGACCTTAGCAGGATCAACAGCAACCCCTACTTTGGAAATGACATGGCCCAAATATTCTACTTGGTGTTGACCAAAAGTGCATTTCTTCCGATTTGCCACAAACTGATGCTGCTGCAGAATATTAAGAACCACCTCCAAGTGTTGTAAATGTTCAGCCCAACTACTACTGTATACTAGGATATCATCAAAAAAACCAGGACAAACTTCCTTAGAAAGGGCTTGAAAATTGCATTCATCACCGATTGAAAAGTTGCAGGAGCATTGGTGAGGCCAAACGGCATTACTAAAAACTCATAGTGACCCTCATGAGTCCGAAAAGCAGTTTTATGAATATACTCTTCCTTCATACGAATTTGATGATAACCGGATTTAAGATCAAGCTTAGAGAAATAACTACAGTCATGTAACTCATCTAACAATTCATCTACAGCCGGAATATGATACTTGTCCTGAATTGTTACCTTGTTGAGTGCACGGTAATCTACACACATACGCCAAGATTGATCCTTCTTCTTGACCATAATGACGGGACTAGAGAAAGCACTGGTGCTGTTTCTAACCATCCCTTGTTGCAATAGGCTCTGAATCTGTTTTTCAATTTCATCCTTGTGTAAATGAGGATATATGTAAGGTCTCACACTTACCGGACACGCACTCTGTAAAAGTTCAATTGAATGACTAGTGTTTCTTGACAGAGGAAGACCTTGGATTTCTTTAAACACAATAACAAAATGCTCCAGTAATCCTTCCAACTCCTTAGTCTGTTGATCAAAGACACATGACACCGGTGACCCTAACACCTCCCTCAAGGTAGGCCATTCACAGCCTGCTATCATTCGAGAAGGAGTGATAATGCTTTGGAAAGTAGCCATCTTATCATCTACAGTTTGACCAAGTAGTTTCACCATACTGCCTTTATGGTTGAACTCCATAGACATTTCTTTCCAATCCATGGTCACCTTCCCCAACGTTTCTAGCCACACAACTCCTAAAATCAAATCCGCACCTCCTAACTCCAACACATAAGCATCAAAGCAAATCTGCACTGATCCCACTTTCATCTGAATTCTATTGCATCTACCCATAGTTAGGACACGATGACCATCTCCTAACTTAACACCCAAAGGATTAGAAGGCACCATAGACAATCCCAGGGCTTCAACCACCTTAGGTGATATGAAATATGTGTGGCTCCACTGTCAATAAGTACCATAATTAATGCACCTTGTAAACATCCCTCCAATTTCATCCTTCGGACCTGATTTGGATTAGTGGATACACCAAACAGCCCCATGGTTTTACATTCTAATTCCTCTTGTGTGAGCTCTTCTTCTGTCGCAGCCTCCAACACCACAATCTCTCCTGCATCGTTAACAATTTCGTCATCCCCCAAGATAATCACTCGTAACTGTCTTATTGCACATTGATGGAGAGGATCCCATCGTTCGTTGCAACGAAAACAGAGTCCTTTCGCACGACGCTCATTAACCTCTGCACTTGGTAGATGGCAAACACCATGAGATTGACGGCGTGAATTGTCACCTAAATTTGGGCGAGAAGATGCTGTAGAATTGGTAGGACGTGTTGAGACGGTTTGAGATCCAGAATCCGAACCAGTCCACGTTTGGCCCAAAGAATTATTAGGCTGGGTCTGAGTGGCAGATCCGTTCCCTTTCCCTTCACGAAAAGCCCAATTAGGCTTTTGAGATTTTGGCCAAGAACCATGACCCGGTTTGTGACGTGCTCCAGAATCCTGTCTAGAAGCCACTGCAAATTCACTTTCAACATCATGAGCCAATTGCATTGCTAGGTAACGGTTGCGAGGCTTGAAGGTACACACACGAGAACGAATATCATGACGTAAACCACCAATGAAATAACCTAGAAACTGTTGTTCTGGCAAACGACCACACTGTGAAGAATACAGTTCGAATTCAGCAATATATTCCTCTACTGATCCCGATTGTTTTAGTTCCTTTAATTCCTCAAACGAATTCTCCAAACGCCCACCTCCAAATCGAACCATCATCGCCTCATAGAGGTTCTCCCATGACACTTCCTCTGTTGAATCATGCCATAGGTTAAACCAATGGATAGTAGGGCCTTCCATACTCAATTTGGTCAACTGAATATGAACATCCTGCGAAATTCGTTGTACCTCAAAGTATGTCTCTGCCCAAGTGATCCATGCAACCGGATCGTCACCGGTAAATGCCGGCAACTCCACCTTCTTCGCAGATAAACAAAACTCATCCAGCGGTGAGGAAATTGTCGCACTGCTTGGCTGCAGCACTACACGATGAGCCATTTCACGTTGAATCTCAGCACCAATGAACTCTCGTAACGCAGCAATGCTAGCCTCAACACCTTCCAACCTTTCTTCCACTGCAGAAACACGGTCAGCCATCTTAGGAGCTTTGGGCATGAACAATGGTAGGTCGGACCAATTGATAGAACAGAGGTATGATATAATATGATAAAGATAAGTATTTTATTAATGAATATGAAAGTAAAATAAATTTCAGAGCTACTGCTCCTCAGTCAGAGAAACAATTCTCTCACTGTCCAAAACCTAATATCAAAAACAGAAAATTAATCAATCCTAACTACTGCCCCATACACTCCTCTTTATATGGAGAATAATTCCTAAACTAACTCCTAGTTATATGGAGAATAATACCTAAACTAACTCCTATTTATTTGTGGAGTTTTCTATTCTTTCTCACATATACCCTCCATTGTTTAGGTCCAATAATAACTCTATTAACTAACACATTCCCATCATCATTTGTGGGATCCGATCCATTCCTATCACACACAAAGGTCCTTGTTGATTATTGTGCAGCCTCTCCATATCCTTCCATAGAATTTTCCTTTTATCAAGTTGATTATGAGCATAAATAGTTGTTAACCAGAACTTGAACTTACCAGATAACTTATAGATACCATAATGTATATATTGGCTGGAACTGTCCTCACATCGTATATCCACTTTTGTGTCATCCCAGGCTATCCAAATTCTTCCATTCCCATGGCAGTTATAGTTATCAATGTATCTACTTTTTAGACAGAGTTTCTTTCTAACATTAGCAGCTTTGTTTTCCTTCACCCTTGTTCCTATTAGAACAACTATAGTTGGCTGCAGCTTTAAGAGATATGAGCTAATTTCCTTCACCTTTCCAGCCTTGTTAAGCCCCCTCATATTCCAAGAGACTAACATGGCCCCTTGTCATAAGGACCTTGAGGGGCATTCAAATCCCTTAAGGCCTCAAATCCATTCATACAGAAAACAACATTAGATGATTCAGCATGCATAATACCCTTTCCTTTATCTCTTGATGGCTTATTTATAGTTGTCCATTTGCTATCATCTTCTTCAGTTCTGGTCTTTGGCTGTACTATAGGTGTGGTAATGTCAGCCACATTCTTCTCTTTGGATATATTAGTTGCAGGAACATGCTCCCTGTTTGGACCATTTGTTTGACCTTCCACACTTTCTGCTTTGGTACAACACCACATTGATGTCCAATTACTTGGCATTTTTCACAGAACTTTGGTTTCCATTCATACTCAATGGGTTGTTTTCTCTTCCTCCCCTCATTATCTGTGATAGAATTTCATCAAACAGCTTGTGTGTGATATTAACTTCCACCAATATCCTTGCATAAGACACTCTTAGCTTATGCGTAGTACACTCATCTGTGACCAGGGGGATCCTATGGTGCTTCAAATTTTGTTAAGGCTTTTTGCTCCCCACAGGTGCAAAGGAAGCTGAGGAAGCTTAACCCAGATTGGAAGAGTTCTCAATAGATCTGCCTTGACATTAAAATCAGGTCTCCAGTCAAAGATAATCATTGGCACGTTTCGTATAGTGTAAGGTCTCTTCATCAACACAGCTTCCATGTCATCAAGAGTCTTGAATCGAAGAATAAAGTAGCCCTCATCATGATAATAAAGCTCTGGGAGATGGACAAAATTCCATGTTTTCACCATAAAATTCTTCATCTTATTCATACTTATATCTTCACCTAGGACATGAACAATAAGGGAATTTTCCCAAAATTGCAGTTCTGATGCTGCATCATCATCGTCAAGTTCAATCTCTATTTCTCCATTCACAACCTTAGGTGCGACATATTCCATGACTCTCCCCTTTGTTGGGTTCTGATTCTCACTGATTACGTCAATCCACAATTTCCGTGTACTCAGGTTCCTAGTTAGGTCTTCCTTTAAAGTTTCGCCCTTCGCATGTTCGTCCTCATTCTTCCCTCCGCGATTGGTTCTATCTGATTCTCCTTTGTCATCTTGTTTCACTGACTCCACCGCGGGTTAGACTACCTGCGGTGAGGGTTGCGTTAGCACCGGAGACACCGTAGCTTTTGGACGTCCCCGAGACCTCTTTGCCGGCCATTAGAGATATTAACAGCTTACGAATAATTTGCAATTGAGTTCTTATAAAACATCATAAAAAGTCCCTTATGTTCTAATTTTTTACAAATAAAAAGTCACTTTTTTTTCTATTTTTTTTTAATTTTCAAAAAACTATATTTTAAAACTTCATAAAATTTGCTTAAGTATTTATATATATATTTAAAGGAAATAAAATTTTAAATTTAATTAAATAAATTAAATTTAAATTTAAATCCATTTGAAACCGATTTAAAAACCGGTTATGAATTTCACTAGCAACCATAGAGTTGTACTAGAACACTTAATGGTAAGTTATTTCATGGAAATTATCAAGGAATATATGAAATCTCAACACTGGTTATTTAGTATTATGGCAGGTTGGGCAATTTGGATTACCAAAATCTTTGAATTGGATTAGTGTTAAGGAAGGAGGTAAAATTTCAAGTGCATGAACGATTTTGTAATACTTTGATTAAGATTGTTAAATTTGTGAGTTTAATCAGACTTGTAAAGGGTTCATAGATTCGACTCACAAACTCGTAAGAGTCTATGTAAAATTAAAAATGACTTTTAAAAATATGTAAGTGACACATACATATATTTTTAAACCTATAAATGACTCATATATGACACAATTATATATACTAGAACACCGACTAATGTCAAAATTTAAATTTCATACTCAATAACAAATTTCTTAAAATAAAAAAAAAAGACTTAATAATAAAACAAACAAAATAGTAAAACATGTAGTTAAAAACTTAAAATACTAATTTCTAATATATATATATATATATATATATATATATATATATATATATATATATATATATATATATATATATATATATATATATATATATATATATATATATATATATATATATATATATATATATATATATATATATATATATATATATATATATATATATATATATATATATATATATATATATATATATGATAATAGCTCCAAACATTCAAAACTTCAATGAGATTACAACCACTAATATCATCATCATCATCATCAAACTCTATCTTAAATGAAACACCTTCTTCGTCATTAACAATTTTGGATTGCTTGAAATTCTCTTTCTACTTAATTCAACATTGTCACCACCACTACTTTGCACAACATTATTTACAAATAGATGCATTTACTTAAAGGTGGTTATCTACAATCATGTATTTTAAAGTTGATTTTAAAAATAGAAGCATATTTACAAATACCAAATATTCTATATTAAAAATAACAAAAAAATTAATCAAAACATTGAAGAAATTAAAATTAAGAAGGTTTACATTTTCCTAACATTGTTGAAACTGTTTTTTTATCTTCTCTTTGGCTGAATCCATCTTTGCATATAAGAAATCCATGAAGGGATTTTCTTTAGAACCTACCAATCTGAGAAAGTATCTTCAAGCATGTGACTATGTTTCCCAAAAAACTACTAACTAAATCCATATATTCCACTTATTTCCCCTCTTTTTACGATAACAAACGCGAACAAACAAGACACAAACAAACACGATCACACTGTCAATGAAGGGAGAAAGAAACTTTGCTTAAAGAAGAGACTAGGAGATAGACTTTATAATTCTCATAAAGCAACAAAAAAAGGTTTTCTTTTAAAAACACTTTTGAAGAATTTAGGACATTTTTTTGGGTTTTTTTATGAAAAAAAATCAGAAAAACTAATAGACTCGTAAACTCTCCATAGACTTGCGAGTCTATACGAGTTTGTGTGAATCTAGTTAAGTCTACTCGAGTCTATCAAATAAAAATTCTATGTGCGAGTCTAATCTTTTTTACTTCCTAAACTCGTAAACTCGTATGAGTTTACGAGTCTACCTGTGAGTTTGACAATCATGTCCCCAACTAAATAGGATCTAGAATATATAAACTGAAATATCATCATAGATTATACTGATACATCAAATAGCATATAACTGACATAAATACATGAATTCACATAAGCTACATTAAATGTGCATACATATACGTGTCCAAAATAGAAGAAAAAAATACGACAAACATGTAGCAGATATCGAATAAAAAGGTAAGTCTTCTTGAATCCATTAAGCAAACTTGCCTTACGCTTTCTTAGTAACCTACTCATATAAAAAGATAATCATCAACATGATGTAAGATAATACTATATGAGTGGAGTCCTACTAAAACCTCAAGCCATCTTGGCAATAAATGTTAAAATAAATTTGGTTCATACCATGTATTCTCTAAGGTTTTGATGATAACAAAATATTTGAAAAACAATTAGGATTTCTAACTACCTGGTTCATGTGTACACGATTCAATTTACTTGAAGAAACTAGTTATGTCATGGCAACAAGCTATGGTTCAATTTTGGTCCAACACTTGTGAGAGAGTCTGACCGTAAAGTTATCTTTTGCATATTTTAGAACCAGAAGCGTGTTAACCCAGCCTCTGAAACTGATGAATGTCAACTCAAGCTCATAAATCACGACACTCGAGAGTATTTGACATTATCTTCAAAAGATTGTGTTGTACTTGTTTTATAAAAGAGTTATCTGGACAAAGGCCTTGTTCTGTGGGTAATTTCTTGGTTACGAGTTCCAACACCTATTTTATTGAAAAAAAGGTGTACAAAAATATTTGATTTGAATATAGTCATTAGGTTGCTCTAACGAATCTATTTCTTCAGCTATAAAAGGAACAAAGAAGTTGAAGATCAACTAAGAGAGAATAACATTGCAACTACGACTGAAATATACACACACTTCATACCATTTGTATCAACTCAAGAGAAGCTAATCTTTTAAGAGTTATTATTCTTGTATAGCTTAAGAATCTTTTGTGTTAAAGTGTGTTGTATTATATTTGAACACCTCTGATCGTTAATCAAGTGTTGTTGTAAGTTATTCCTTCTCTAAACACTCAGTTTTGATAAAGTCTCTTGTTGTGGGTTTGAGCATTGAAGTCTTGGATTCATGGAATCTGAGCAAGGAAGTCTTGGACTGTAGGTCTAAGCAAGGAAGTCTTGTACTCGAAGGTATAAGCAAAGAATTCTTGAATCCGAGGGGTCTAAGAAAAGAAGTCTTAGGATCTGAGGATCTAAGCAGGAATTATTAATTAGGTGCTGATTGAGCAAGGAAGACTTAGGTTGTAGGTATGAGCAGGAAAGTCTTATACTTGAAGGTATAAGCATTTGTAATATGTTTGACTATAGTGGAAATCTCTTGTATTGCAAGGGAACTGGACTACTTTCAGCTGGAGAGGAACCATGATACCTGTTGTATGTTTTTTTTCCTATTTATTTACTTATGTTATTTTCTCAGCTTCACTTTTATTTACCATCTTCAGATTCTAGTTTTGATTCTGAACTTTGCTAGTAGTTCAGGCAGAGGAATTTCCTATGACTATAGTGCTTCTGAGAGAAATCATTATTATGTTAAACCTCCTGTATTCAGTGGTGATTCCACTGAGTTTGAATGGTGGAAAAGCAAGATGTACACTTATGTCATTGAACTTAATGATAACTTGTGGGATATACTTAAAGATGGTATTGAGATAATCGTTGATAATGTTGGTATGGTATCTGATAGAAAAATTTCACTTCAGCTCAAAAGAAAGTTTATAGAAAACATCATAGAGCTAGAGGTATTCTAGTCGATGCTCTGCCACATGTTGAGTATCTAAAAATCATTGATAAGACTTTTGTTAAGACTGTCTTTGAATTATTGTGCTCTACCTATGAAGGGAATCAGCAAAAGCTAACTTGTGGGTACAACAGTATGAGTTGTTCAAAATGAAGGATGACGAGGATATTAAAAACATGTTCTCCAAGTTTCAGGTTCTTGTATCCAGGCCTTCAGTTGTTAAGTAAGACTTACTGTGTATTAAATTGTGTTTAAAAGATTACAAAAAGTTTCCCTTTAAAGTTTAGACCTAAAGTAATAGATATTCAGGAAGCTAAAGATTTGAATACGATATCTTTTGAAAGTCTAATCAACAACCTTCAGATCCATGAGATGGAAATGAATGGAGACGAGTCTTCAAAGAAATTTAAATCTCTTGCATTGAGATCTGCTTCTGAAAATTCTGGTGAAAAATCCAAAACGCGTTCGAAGATCAGTAAACCTGATGAAACTTTTGAAGAAGATTCTGATGGTGGATCTGATGATGATGATATGGCATGCTTCATCAGAGGATTTCAAAATATCCAGAAGGAAAATAAAATTTTCTAAAAGCGAATTCTTTAGAAGATCTAACTCTAGAGAGAAAGATGAAGATAAAGTATGTTACAACTACAACAAACCTTGTCACTTCAAAGTTGATTGTCTTGATTTTCAGAAAGATAGTCAAAAGAAAGGAAGTCATCAGAAGGATAAATTCAAGAACAAATTTAAGAAGAGTTTTATGGCAACATAGGAGAGCTAGACGATGAAGATTTAGAAAAAGAAGAAGAAGTCAATCTGGTGTTGATGGCTCACACATCTGAAGAAGAAATTTTATCTGAAATAGAGTCTAAAGACGAATATGGGGTATACTCTTATTTTTACTTTATATTATGCATGACTGATCTCATGAATCATTCCAAAGATCAAACCAGGCGTATCAAAATTTTAAAAAGAGATAACTTGGTTTTAAAAGAAGAATTAAAGGAAATCATCATATCTCAAAATGGATGTTCTACTCTAGGTAAACATGATAAAGCATTTCATAATTTCTTTACAAATGGCATTGATAG